TCTTGCATGCAATCCAAATCATCTTCGTTGTACTCGATAATTGGTTGTTTCGCTGCCTTTTTTTTACTGTCTGCACGCGGAGCCGTTTTTCTTGCATCCTCGATCACCGGCAGCACATCGCTGTCGGAGACCAAGTCCAGTGGCAGCGTTGAAGGTTGCAGGTTGCCAAACGTGGCTGCTGATGAGTCATCTGATGTCACCGACGCCATGGCCACTACAACACGGGCGTGTTCTTCCCGGCTTGAAGTTTTTTTTTCTTCCTTGCCACAGGCTCCGCGCCGTGCGGATGAGGCTTGAGGAGCTGCTGCAGGATGATCTTCCCGAACCAACGACATGGCTGGCGGACCTCGCGCTAAGAGGGCGGCGTTGGGCCGTGCAGTGAAACAAAAGCCTGCGCGGCTTCGTTGCCGCAGGCTCCGCGCCGTGCGGAGGGCTTGAGCCTCTTAATGTTTCGCCAAGTAAAGAAGTGTCAACCCATCGGTTTCATGCCACATGCAACGCGAACTCCTGAGAAATGCAAAAGAAATTCTTTCTGCATAAACCACGCTCACCCTGCGAACATTCAGTGGCACTGTCTGTGCAAACAAAGCTCATTCCGGCAATGCCTGTCGAAGCTTTTAGCACGGTTTACACATACACCCAAGCTGCACGCTGCACAGGCCCACAGAGAAAAAAACACATTCATCCTCGCCGGCGACACGCGCGGCACGCCGCTGTTGATGAGTAGGATGAACACATTCCAATGCCTAATTCTCTTCCTTGCACGAACCGAATCGAATACTAGCAGCTTCACTGGGGATACGCGGTTTCAGAACTGACACAAGCAAGTGGCAGCAAGGCTGTGTACTTCAGCAGGGATTGAAGGCGAAGGAGGTAAGTTAATGATTCTTGTGTTCACAGCGACAACATCTCTAACATTAGGTAAGCGTTAATACATGTCAGCACACAAGCTGCAATCGCAAAACGACTTTTTTGGGCGCATGGTACGGGACCACACCTGCAGCCACTGACCAATGCCCTTAGCACACAAGCTGCAATCGCAAAATGACTGTCTTGGGGGGCGCTTGGTACTGGGATTTCTCTGCATCGATCCGAGGAGCTACTGGGGGATCATCGCTCACCAACGACATGGCTGGCTAAGAGAACGGCTTAGGGCCGCGCACTGCAGCGCGGGCTTGTGGCTTTGCGGCTGAAGATGTTTTCTCTTCGTCGCCGCAGGCTCCGCGCCGTGCGGTGGGGCTTGAGCCATTCGGTGTTTCGTCGTGTAAATAAAAGGTTGTCAACCGATCGGTTTCATATGACACATGCAATGCGAACTCGTGCCACCTGCAAAGGACACTCACTCTTCATGTGTACAAACCACGCTCACCCTACGAAAATTCAATGGCAATGTCTGCGCGAACGAAGCTCATTCCAGCAATGCCTGTCGAAGCTTTTTGCACACATATATCCAAGCTGCACGCTGCATAAGCCCGCATAAACAAAAAACCTATTCATCTTCGCCGGAGACACGTGCGGCGAGCCGTTGTTGATGAGTAAGATTGACACAAATTCAATGCCTAATTCCCTCCCTTAAGTTACAACCGAACAATAATGCCACTAGCAGGTTCTGATACGGCATGGGCGCTTGGTACTGGACCACACCTGCAGCCACTGACCAATGCCCTCTTCTTGGCACACAAGCTGCAATCGCAAAATGACTGTTTTGGGCACTTGGTGCTGGACCACACCTGCAGCCACTGACCAATGCCGTTGTGTTAGCACACAAGCTGCAATCGCAAAGCGATGGTTTTGGGCATTTGGTACTGGACCACACCAGCAAAACTGCAAACTCTCCTATCACGTGTTTCAGAGTTAACTGCACCTTCAAGCTTCAAGGTTGAACCGCGAAAAAAACTTCACCTTCAGTACCTTCAGGCTTCTCACACTTGAAAAAGCCTTCAGTTTTGAACAACAAAAGAGTAGGACACCTTCAAGCATGAACTTTCGGTTCGCGCAATTCTGCATTTCGCGACATGCTCGCATGAGCGCCGGGCTCATGCTGGACCACACCTGCAGCCACTCTTGTGAGCGCCATTGGACCACATCTGCAAAACCGAAAACTCTCCTATCACGTGTTCCAAAGTGAACTGCACCTGGCATCGCTTGTTCCAACAAAAAGGTCCAGGCTCACAGCCAAACCACTGCTACTGCACATGCTTGGGCTGCTTCTGCACAGCACTGCTGCGCCACCGTAGGCTTTCTCCCCTCGACATTGCCGAGGGCACTGCGCCACAGCCCATTGGATTGTCAAGCCTCGGAATATTAGGGTTGGGGCTTTGAGGTTGTTTGGGGTTAGAGTCTTCAGGGGGATGTTCTGTTCCAAAAACACGTTCAAGCTCACAGCGAAATCACAGCTACTGCACATGCTTCGGTTGGTTCTGCAAAGCACTGCTGCCCCACCGTGTGCGCTTTCTTCTAGACATTGCTGAGCACACCGGGCCACAACCCATTGCATTGTCAAGCTTCGGCATGTTAGGCTTGGGACGTTTAAAGTTCCTAAATCCCAAACCAAAAAAATTTACGCATCCTAGCTTTTCTTGAGGAACACACGGAAGCCCGAGCGACTATGTTTGATTATAGCATTAAGGACCGTCTCATGACTATGGCTACCTTACACCCTAAACTTCCTAAGCCTCCGACGCTGCTGAGCGCACCGCACCACGGCCCTTTGCATTGTCAAGCCTCGGCATGTTAGGGTTAGGACTTTAATGTTGTTTGTGGTTAAAATCTTTTTGGGCATCGTCTGTTGCAGAAACACGTTCAGGCTCACAGCCGCATCACTGCTACTGCATATGCGTCGGCTGCTTCTGCACAGCACTGCTGCGCCACCGTAGGCTTTCTCCTTTCGACATTGCCGAGGGCACTGCGCCACAGCCCATTGGATTGTCAAGCCTCGGCATATTAGGGTTGGGGCTTTAAGGTTGTTCGGGGTTAAAGTCTTCAGGGGGATTTTCTGTTCCAAAATAATCTCGGGCCATGGTTGAAGGCCGGAAACTTTCAAGTAGCGAAGCTTTCAGAGGCCGAAGTTGTGGATTTGAGCAAGACTCCCGGTAGGACGCCATCACGTCGCATTTCACAACCTTGAAGCAGCCTGGTTCCAGCAGTTATATATATGTTCATATAAAAATATTCATATATATATGTTCATATATATAACCCATATATATATATATATGCTCATATATATATATGTACATATGTATGTATGTATATATATATATAGATATATAGGTATATAGATATATAGATAAATAGATATATAGATATAAAGATATATAGATATATAGATATACAGATATATAGATATATAGATATATAGATATATAGATATATAGATATATAGATACATAGATATATAGATATATAGATATATAGATATATAGATATATAGATATATAGATATATAGATATATAGATATATAGATATATAGATATATAGATATATAGGTATATAGATATATAGATATATAGATATATATATATATATAGATATGTAGATATATATATATATATGCATGTATGTATGTACACTACATGACCTACCATAACCTACTCTGAATCCAAGTCTGGAATGTTTGAGGACCCTGCAACAAGTAGGTTTTGGTTGGCTAGTTAAGGAATACACACGACTACAAAGGGATAAAGTTGGAGGCCTCTGCAGAAGGAGGGGCTCCAAAACAGCTCAGAGCCCACTCTTTGCGAGAAGTCTTCTTTGGAGAAGAAGTTGACAGCGCAGCCAAATGTTAGTGAGCTTAACACCATGTGAGGTATGTATGTATTCTAAAGCCCTTTTTAATTCGAATGAAAATACTAGTGCTATTAATGCTTAGGGTTTTGTTGCAATAGAATTAAAGACTTACTCTTAAAAGAAACAGAAAGTCCTGAACTTCTCGGCTCCCCTTGTAACATCAGTATCCTCAGGCACTTAAGATACACATTAAAGCTCAGATACAATACAGGGAATCCCTGGCACCGATCATCCCGAACCCAGGCTCCAACTTTCCGGGCATCACCTGAAATTAAAGCCCTAACTCCTACACTCGAAACATCAAACCGCAACCGTAAGAACTACCTGTAGTCTCCATAGTACTTCCGTTGTTGGGTTACCTTGTAGGATCCTACTACAGGTACAGCTGCTTCAATCAAACCGAGGACCTACAATCGAGACTTTAGGAACCCTAAACCCTACAACCCCCAGCCGGCTTTAGGGTTTAGGCTTTTAGGGAAAGAGAAAAGCATAGGGAGCTGGGTGGCGCACTTGCGACAGGCAACCCCCTTAAGCCCCAAACCCTTTATCCGAACCCCGAAATGGCTGCAGCAAGGCAGTAATTCCACTTCCAAGCACTTCTAACTGTCCTCCGAAAGCAAGTTTCATTTGTCCCTTGAAAGGACAGCTAAATTTGCCGTCAGCTCCTTTGGTCTTAGAACTCGCATGTACGTTTGGTTGTAAAGCGTCTCCCACCTGGCCGTCGGTGGTTCAAGACTTTGAATATCTCTTCCACGGCTTCAAGATGCTGCACACAAACGGTGGAACCGCGGCTCACCGTCAAGGCTGCTGTGAATTTCATGAAAATTTCCATCCCGGCCCCAAAACCTCAAAGCCCGAACGCCGCAATACTACAGCTCTGTACCCTGCGCCGAGCACCCGGCTTTTCGGCAGTACAACACCTTAGTAAGCAGCCACGATGCAAACTGCGACTTGCACAAACCCTCAACTTGTGCAGGTTTACATTGCATGTGTTTCATGACGCTGCTCTACGGGCAAACTTGTTTTTGTAAGGTGTGACAGTTTGAGGAAAGCAGGTTCGTTGAACCAGTCTTGCAAATGAGCGACACACAGATTTTCATTGTTCTGGCCGCGAGAGCAGCCTCTTTTAGAGGTGCTCAAGATTGCAATCATACCCTACAGGTGAAACAAAATTGATGCTTTTGGGCATCCTGTGCGGTGGCTCTGCTGCTCACTCCAAACAATCCACCTGCCAATGGCCGGTCTTGCCGCATCTGAAGCATTGATCACCGTATTGATGGACAGCCCAATCAGGGCGTAAGTCCGAGTAATTGTAGCCAGCCCCTTCGACGAAACCGGCATTACGAAGAGCTGACTTCCACATGCGATCATTCCACAGCATTTGCCGAAACTTTCTCCGTCCCTGTTGGACGCGGCGCTTCTCCTGCTCATCCAGCATGGCCATGTGGAATGCCGAAGCTTTTGGGCAAGCTTGGCAAAGTTTCCGGGCGACCCAATTCCGCAACTGCGTGGAAGTCATGCTGTCCAACCGGTCAATCAACTTCAAACCCCTGTGAGTCGACACCCGGCTCAAAGCTACGTAGCCCATATTGTCGTTGAACACTTTGCTTACATGCGCCGCCGCATGCGTGAGTGTCATTCCTTGCGCTTTGTGCAAGTGGTGGCCCACGCGAGGGCCAAAAGAATTTGCTTCTTCCTTGCAAGGTATGGTCCCCCGACCTCTGACTGGATGTAGGCACCGAAGCATGGCATTGTCGTCCGTGTGCCACCGTCGCCGTCCAGCCACACAACAGGCCACCTGTCATCGAATCCGATCACAATGCCCTGCGTTCCACCGCAAGTAGATTTGCTGTTTTGCACATATGTGAGGCGCACTGGCGCCCCGACTTTGAGTACCAGCTGTCTGGGGCACTGCTCATCCAGGCCAACTTCCAACTCCTTCCTGCTATGGACAGTCACGTCCGGATGGAAGAAATCCTCTGCATCAAATGAGACCGCCTCTCCTTCCAGTCTCAGCAACCTCGATGCACTCACGCTTTCCACGTCTTCATTCTTGGCATACATAGATAACCGCTCAAGTGTTCCTTTGCGGCGCGCTGCAGCAAGCAGGAGGCCTATGTCTGTTTCACGCAGGTAGCCATACCGCAGTCGCTTGAGGAAACTGGACATCGGCATCGTCCCTTTGCCGATGTGGTCTGCCCAAAGTGTGCTGTTGCAGTGGCTCAGCAAACAAAGCCTTCCAGCATTGGGCCTCGAATGCCATCGGACACTCGTCTTCATCGTCTTCTTTGTCGTAACTCAAGAACCTGCTGAGCGGTCGCCGTGGCCGTGCGAATGAGTGTTTCGTCACGGTGTTTTGATGTCTTTTTACTCTCTGCTGCTGGGGCGTTCTTGTTTTTTTCTTCGTCCATCTCCAACACGACATCGCTGCTGGAGTCCAGGTCCATGGGCATGGTCGAAGCCTGCAGCTTCCCAAACCGGGCTGCTGGGTGGTCATCCTTCCTCACCAGAGCCATGTGCGGCTTCGCGGCTTGAAGTTTTTTCTGTCGCAGGCTCCGCGCCGTGCGGATGAGGCTTGAGCCTCTTCCACACAACAGCGAGAAGGACTACATCTTCAGGCCGCAAACTTCAGGCTGCACACTTGAAAAGCGAGAAGGATTACACCTTCAGGCTTGAACAGCGATAAGGGAGCACTTTCATGCTTGAACCATCTTGAACCTGCGGTTGCCGGGCTCACGCAGAAATCAACTGCACATGTTCCGGCGGCTTCGGCTGCTTCTGCACAGCACTGCTGCACCACGGTAGAGGCTTTCTCCTGTCGCCATTGCCGAGCGCACTGCGCCACAGCCCATTGGACTGTCAAGCCTCGGCATATTAGGGTTGGGGCTTAAGGTTGTTTAGGCGCCGGGCTCATGCTGGACCACACCTGCAGCCACTTTTGTTAGCACACAAGCTGCAATCGCAAAATCACTGTTTTGGGCGCTAAGTACTGGACCACTCTTGCAAAACCGAAAACTCTCCTATCACGTGTTTCAGAGTGAACTACACCTTCAAGCTTCAGGCTTCAACAGCGAGAAGGACTACACATTCAGGCCTCATGTTGCGTTTTCAAGTGAACAACAGTCGTCCTACACCTCATCTGTTTAGTAAGTTGAATTTCTTATGTTGGTCATTGCTTGATGCCCCGCCTTGCTTTTACGCAGACGGCTCGTGTTGGCATGCATTGTTTTGCATTGACGTTCGTTGTGGCTGGATATCGCGAAGTGTACCGTCTTGCAAAAACGGCTTCTTCGATGCTTGTGGTGTTTGCTTGATGCCCCGCCTTACTTCTACACCGACGGCTCCTGTTGGCATGCGTCGTTTTACATTGACGGTCGCTGTGGCTGAATCTCGCGAGGTGCATCGTCTTGCATAAACCTTTTGTTTTCGATTCGTGGTGTTTGTTTGATGCCCCGGCTTACATGTACACCCACGGCTCGTATTGGCATAGGCAACTTGGCATAGGCAACCGCACGCGATGCAAACCACAGAGCATGAATCTCCAGCACTGCGTCCTGCTACTGTTGCTGTCCTTACTTGTGTGCCTCTCATGCTGTTGGCTTTCACACAAACTGTTGCTGCTCTTACTTGTGCGCCTCTCATGCTGTTAGTTGTGTTTTCACACAAATGTACGACCGGAGCAAGTTTGGCAGTCAAAGTTTCCTCGCGAAGTGAGAGAGATGTTGCTGCCAGTGGCCGCTGCCCTGAATCATGGATGCGTTGGCCTGTGTGCGTCGTGAAATCCGGCGCTTACAAGAGCAGCAGCGGCGTGCCCGCTGTGTGCAAGCGCGCTTGGGCTTGACAAGAACAGATCGTCTGGTGGCCGTGGGATGTTACACTCAGAGCAATTACAACCTGCCTTTGGCGATTACTTTTGTTAAGCAACGTGCCCCGACATCGTGGCTGCCGTCCACAGACACGGAACTTAGATTGTCATCGTATGGGATTGCTGCCGCGTTCACTTGACAGAAGAAGTTTTGACAGCATGTAAAAGGTTGCATTTTTGGCTTCTTTTTGTGCCAACGCACATTACATCTATTCTGCAGCCGCTGGACACCTGTGTTTTCGGCCCGCTAAAGCAACGAATGCGACGACGGTACGCAGAAGCCATGCGCGGCAGCGGCTGCGTCTCAGTGGCGCAGTGGCTACAGCTCTTGCAAGAAGTGACAGTGACGATGCTATCAGAACGAAGCTGGCAGAAGTCATTTCGTTCGGTAGGCATCTCCGGCTCAGCGCCTCTCAGCGCAGACCTCCAGCATTTGGGCATCGAGTACCCGTTGCCAGAGCCTGGACGTGTGCTTTCTTTGGCTTCTGCCTCCGGGCAGCGACAGCAAGTGTGAGTTGTTGTTGAACTGTCCCAGGGTGCGTTTCCTGACCTAGCTTCCTGCAAAGCAGAAGGAGCCAGCAGAATCCGCAATTGTCGAAAGGAGGGTGCGAACTGTGGAGGGTCCAAACCCTGTGGCGGGAGGTGTATGGTTTTGGTGACCCCCATTCTGGGACCCAACAAAGCATGGGTTGCAGCTCTCACGGCCATGTTGGCTTGAAGCTCTGAGTTTGTTCTGATTGAAGACGTTTTAGGCCAAGGCAAACAATTTGGGTTCCTGGGAGCTCAGGCGCCCGGAAGCGGCCAAAGCATTTTTGGCAGACCAAGACCTACAAGGCGCCTACGTCTTGCGGATTTGTTTTTGCAAAACAGCTTGGAGTGCATCCCATAAGCCGGCAGCCTGCAGAGTTAGACCGTGTAGTAGCAGTGCTAATGCCATCCGTATTCTACAGTCGGTCAGCGGCTGCAGGTGTGGCTCAGTACCACTGTAGAGTGCGATGGCAGCACACGCAGTTTCAGATTCCTTGATGACTTGCAGTTTGCAGTTTGGCACTTGCAGCCAACTTGAGCCTTGTTGTGATTGGACGTCGATGCTCCGCGCCGCGGTTCAAGCATGGCAGCAATCCACAGCTTGCAGATTCTTGCAGAGCTCTCAGTGTTGCAGAGTTTGACGTTTGGCACTGCAGCTTGGAGGGCATCGCACAACCTGGCAGCCTGCAGAGTAAGACCGTTTAGCAGCATGCACGTGGCAGTTTGTTTAACTCGAGGTTGGAAGCATCCAACTATCCAGCAGCCGGCAGAGCTCTCAGAGTTGCAGAGTCAGACGTTGGGCACTGCAGTTTGGAAGGCATCGCACAACCCGGCAGCCTGCAGAGTTAGACCGTTTTGTAGCATAGCAGCTTGCAGAGTTCTCAGTGTTGCAGTGACAGGAGGCATCCAACTATCCAGCAGCCTTGCAGAGTTCTCACTGTTGCAGAGTTTGACGTTTGGCGCTGCAGTTTGGCTGTGAAGCACTTGCTGAACGCTGGACGAAATGTCCAAAAAAAGAAGAATTTGCCGGAAAGGCTTTACAAGCAATTTTCCAAATGCAGTGGTACGGACTGTGCGGCTTTTGAATCGTGGCCTGGTGACAGCAATGCCGCTCACTGATGGAGGACGTTGCCGACCATAAAACGATTGTTGTTATGTCTTGGGCAGTAAATTTTGCAATGTCTGTTGCTTAGGATGAAGAATGAAGAGTTGCAAGAGAATGCCGGCAGTGATGGTGACCATTTAGCCTCGCATGTGCCGGAAGCAGTTTTCACAGAAACCCCCCTTGCCCCCATACAATGGCTAAGCTTGGTTCAACAAGAGCGACACGGAATGCTGGGCTTGCTGCTCCAATTGCGGTATCTGCTTATTGTAACCTTTGTAATTCCCAAAAGCCCGGACCAAGGTCCGCGCTTGCTTTGCCGAGAAAACCGTGGTCCGCGGTAGGTTTGTCGGTTAAATGCTCGGGTCCGCGCAGGTCCGCGCCGGTTTGGTCGAGAAAACTATGGTCTGCAGTAGACTTCTTAGCCAAATGCTCAGCTCCGTGCAGGTCCGCGCTTGCTTTGCCGCGAAAACCGGTCCGTGCTGGGTTTCTGGGCTAAATGCTCGTGTTCCACAGCTGAGAAGACGCTTGGGTCCGCGCAGGTCCGCCCCGGGTTTGCCAAAAACCGCAGGTCCGCGCCGGTTTTGCCGAGAAAACCGTGCTAGGTTTCTGAGCTACATGCTTGCGCCCGCGCACGTCCGCGCCGGGTTTGCCGAGAAAACCGTGCCAGGTTTCTGAGCTAAATGCTTGGGTTCGCGCCGGTTTTGCCAAGAAAACCGTGCCAGGTTTCTGAGCTACATGCTTGGGTCCGCGCAGGTCCGCGCCGGGTTTGCCGAGAAAATCGTGCTAGGTCTCTGTGGTTGGCCGGTAGCTTTGAGGTCTGCAGTGCTCGGCTTTTAGGGCCTGAGGGCTCAGCAGTCTGAAGTCATCCCCTCGCTCTGCTCCCTAAACCTCGACACCCGAGCGGGCAGTCCAAGCTTCCAAGCCATGGGGTCTTTAGCCGCAAATCCTAGGGCCTTAGGGCTCAGCAGTTGAAGTCATCCCCTCAGCTCTGCTCCCTAAACCTTGAAAGCCGAGCGGGCAGTCCAAGCTACCAAGACCAAGCCATTTGGGGCAGTAGCCGCCAGGATTCTGCACGGCTACCATGGAGGCCGTCTTGTTGCGCAGACGGGTTTGCAGTTCTGGGCAGAGTGCTTTTTGCGGTGCAAGCTCGCGCGGGGGAGAGCTTTTTTGTGCTGGGTTTTTTCTGTAAGCAAAGGTTTGCGCTGTATGCTTTGCATTTTTAGTGTGGTGAGTGAAGAAGCAAAAGGTTTGTGCTGTATGGTTTCCAGTTTCAGTAAGGCAAATGAGTGGGCGTGCAGCTCTCTGCGCAGGTGTTGGCGAGAGCGCCATGTCGTTGCACAGCCGGGTTCGCAGCTCGAATGCGTTCGCCTTGCTCTGGGAGGTGTGTGCGTGTGTGCAAAGCCTTGTGGACGAGCGTTTGGGCTCCGGCTCCGGCTCACCTTGCTTAGTAGGCGCTTTCCCCTCTCTTTGCAGCTGCCATGGACGCTAACGCTGCGCCCAGCTTGGGGGACAGACTCGCTGCTCTCAAGGCCGATCGGGCCCGCTTGCTGCGTGAAGAAGCTGAAAAAAGCAAAGAAATCCGAACAACTCAAAAGCGCTTCAAGAGATTGAAGAAGGCGGCCGCGAAGTTGAGCCAGGCAGACTTGGTGGAGTTGCTCCGTGTCAAGGAAGCGCAGG